CTATGTATGTATACATATATGCAAGACTAGAGTTGCATTAGTGAAGCTCTCACCTTCATCTTTGTTCAACCTTTATTTGTAGATTCTGATTTATGCTCCAGCATCTTTCATCCACAAGAAACCAAACTCTTTATCACTTATAATCTTTATAAACCTATCCACTTACCCTCTTTTGGGAGGAAATTTATTTCTCTCAAAAATGTCTTGAATTAAAGCTTTCCAATTCTATAATAACAGAATAAACTCCATATAATTGTAAAATAATATACTTACAAAATTTTAGCATTGCTTTTCCTAATAACTTGGATGCTAAATGGGTTTTCGGTATGTTCACATCATACAGTGTATCAGAAACTGTGGGTCCAGTAAACTCTTTACGTACGATGAGGGACTTCATATCTTCTATTATTTGGGATCAGTAATCTGGAAGATTTAGCAAGTTAACATTACTTGATTCTAGACTTTTCTTTCTCCTAGCAATACAAAGAGACAATTGTACAAAAAAATATTATTTACAGCAGTCTCTACGAAAGATTTGTATATAAAAGTCTAAATACATTTACATAAATACATATATAAACACATAAAGGTGTTAAGTTTAAAAAATAAAATGAAAGAAATAAGCACACTATAATCACAATTTAAATAATTAAAAAATATAGAGTAAAATAGGCTTACATTCATTTCCTGAAAATATACCATATTATTTTCCTATGTCTTTCATAAAAACCTTGGAAAAGGTGGCTTAAAGCAACAAAAATTTACTCTCTTACCGTACTGGAGGCTGCAAGTCCTAACTCAAGGTGTCAGCGCAGCCATGCTGCCTCCAAAGGCTTCACAAAATAATTCTCCCTTGTCTCTCTCTAGCTCCTAGTAACTCCTGGCAATCCTTGGCGTTCCTTGGTTTATAGGTGTATTTTTCCAATTTCTGCTTCCATTTCACATGGCTTTCTTCCCTGTCTGTTTCTGTGTGTGGTTCCTTCCTCTTATAAGGATATTAGTCATTCAGCCCAGAGCCCAACTTAATTCACCACGACTATATCTTAACTAATTGCTTCTGGAAAACTGTATTTCCAGATAAGGTCATATCCAACGACTCCAAGTAGACATGAATTTTTGAAAAACATTATTTAACCTACTACATATACACACCAATATATTAATTAAAAACATATATCCCTGTTGTTGCTTTGAAAATATTGGTAATTTTAGTTTATCTTGTGAAGATTTTGATACTTGTTATTTATGTTTAGTTGTTCTTCCTATTTTTCAGGTCTCATTATTTTTAGTTTCTTATCTAATTATTTTCCTTTTGGCTTCATTTGACACAGTTAAACTCTAGCAAATAAAAGTATAATAAATTTATCATATTGTAACATATTTCATCATATATGATATACAATTATGTGATTATATATATTAAATGTAATAATTTTATATGTAGTAACATATGTGTATACAATACATAGATATGTATATTCATTGTATTATGACCCCAAAATTCATATGTTGAAGCTCTAACCCCCAATGTGAAGGTATTTGGAGATAGGTCCTTTCAGGGATTAATTAAGTTTAAATAAAAATATAAGGGTGGAGCCCCAGTTCATTAGGACTGGTGTCCTTTTAAGAGAAGGAAAAGACAACAGAGATCTCTCTCTCTGCACGAAAAGGAAATACTCATTGTGAGGACAAAATGAGAAGGCAGCTGTCTACAAGCGAGAAAGAGAGGCCTCACTAGAAACCAGCCTTGATGATGACACCTTGATCTTGGACGTCTAGCCTCCAAGATTGTGAGAAAATAATTGCTATTGTTTAAGCTAACAATTCTGTGGAATTTTGTTATGGCAGCCTGAGCTAATGCACTTTGCATGGAATTATGGCTGTTTCCTAGGTAATCATTTGATTATTCTATATTTTCTCATCATTGTGCACTAAGTAAACATGCCCTTTCTAATATTACAACAAACATGCCATTTCTAGTATACAATAATTTATACAGTAAGTTTAATATAACCAATTTTCAAATATTTAACAACCATGATCTATCCTCATGTATATGAAAATTCAAGATAAATCTTTTTTTTAATTAAGGAAATTTTTTGAAAATCATTACTTTAACCAACTTCAATCTCTATCACTACATTTGGAACAAATAATATTTAGTCAGACGGAATGCTTCTCATATTTAAAAGAGTAAGTGTATATATTTAAGATGAAAATTATTTATTTAGTTGATCACTTAAGATGGTAGAAAATTAACATTTGAAGTATATTAAAGAATATTTAAGGTATTTAATGAAAAGTATTATTAAAGATATATAACTATAAATAACAGCAACAGCAACAACAACAACAAAAAAACCCTGAGTGACAAAGATTGAATAAAAGTTGTATTTGAAAATTGCAACATCTCCTAAAGCAGAAAAAGGCAAATATCTAGGCCCATTTTCTAATTTCAGGTAGATTTCATTTTTCATTCCTTTATTATTTACTTTTTAAGTCCATTTTGTATAATAGAAAAATACAATCTTGAAAATTCATCCACTTAGAGAAAATTATGACATGCTCGTTAAAGAACAGTGACTACTGAGTTCGTGAAACGTGAGCTCACATTGAACTTTGCATACTACTATTCTAATTCCAGTTTTGCCTGTAAACTAGCAAAGTGACATTGGAGTATTAATTTAGCCTTGAAAAACACTCTAAGCTTCCATATAAGTCCAGAACTTTATGAATAAGGTACCACTTAAATGATAATCTCTTTAAAATCATTTTGTTAAGTTGCACTTTCCTAGTTAAAAATGTCAAGAAAATACTCAAATTCATTTGAGATATACTAAGTTAAACTTTTAAAACTGTAAGTTGTCATTTTATAAATAACAAGCATAAATATATTGGCTGAAGTTTAACTTGTTTACTTCACAAATATAATTTATTACACACTGAAAACATTCTTCAGCAATCTAGCAATCTAACAGTTTAGACTAATAGTTGGCAACAAAAGTTGACAGTAAAGACTAATAGTAGGCAACAAAACTATAAACCATTCACTTTCAAATGTTGTTTCCCTATAAGACCTTCAAAACCCATATTGTTCCTCATAGAATTATATGTTCAACTTCAATCATTTCTTTCCTTTTTTCTTTCCTTCTTTCTCTCTTTCTTTCTCTCTCTCTCTCTCTTTCTTTTCAGATGGAGTCTCGCTCTGTCACTCAGGCTGGAGTGCAGTGGCTCAATCTCGGCCCACTGCAAGCTCCACCTAAAAAGGTTAAGTAAAGAGAATATCTGGCCACTTTCCTCAGTGTATCACAGTAAATACTATGTTATTTAGCTATTCTATCAGTGGGTAAGCTATAGGGCCTACTATTCATAGTATTACTCTAAGGAAAATCTCATCTCTTTCAAATTTGTTTGTGGCAAATTAATTAGAAAATTATATGCTTACTATGATGTAGGGAAGATAGAATAGGAACAAAATAAATTTTATAGTTTATTCAGTTAATTTGTGTGTGGTAAGGTGGAGTGGAGAAGGTGAAATTTATAATTGCATATCATATTTGCAAATGCAAATATTTGCAAAATGTCAGTACATAGAGTCAGCCCTCTGCATCTGTGGATACAGCAAACTGTGGATCAAAAATATTTCAAGGAACAAAAAATACCAACATGGTAATAAAAATAATGTAAACAAAAAACTGCGGTATAACAATTATTTGCATAGCATTTACATGGTATTAGACTTACAAATACTCTACAGATGATTTAAAGTATACAGGAGAATGTGCATAAGTTAGATGCAAATACTGCCATTTTATATAAGATATTTGAACATCTGCAGATTTCGATATCCTCAGAAGTCCTGAAACCAATTCCCCGAGGATACACATGTATATGTGCATATACACCCACACACATAGACCTTTATTCCCACACAGATTTCCCACACAAATCTGTGTGGGAATAAAGGAAGATTGAACGTGGGTTACATGAATCCAACTGGTTACCGCTAATTTTCTCCATTTTCTCTTCTTTACTTCTAATTGCTAAATTAAAAACAAATAATAATTTTCATAAAATGAGTATCATTTTATGTTCCACAGATACTTCTTAATGCTATCATTACAAATACTCTATTGGAACATACATATCATCTCTTATATGTTCTATATTATCAAAGGTATACTTTCTTCAATAAGTAGATTTGAAATGAAAGAATTTCATGAAGATTTATAAAATTAACGATAATTTGTTAAATATGGATGAATATTAACTTGCTAGTTTAAACTGAGCAGAGATAAAGGAAAGCAAACTCAGTAACTTCTATTATCTATCATTTTTAATAGAGAGCTATGATAAAAAGATAAATGCAGCCTAATTTATGTCTAGCTCTTTATTAAATAAGATTGATCCTATATTGAACAATTATCTTAATATAACAATTTATATATTCATTAAAAATAGTAAAGACTTTTGTTGCAGACCTCTGTTGGGAATTGTTCTGGAATGCAGTTTATTCTCACATTGACAGGATCATTTAACACATTTGGACATTTTCCTGAATCAGAAGGATTTGTAGTCGAAGGACAAATAGCTGGAGTTGAAGTAGAATCACTAATATCTAGGGGAGGAAAAAACTCAATAAAATAAAACATGACATTAAATTAATTTTCTCAGATTTTCCAAGTAACAAGTACTTTTTGAAATAATACATGAATTCATATAAAATGAAAATTTTCAAATAAATTTTGCATTTAAAAAAGACCCACAAATTCAAGCACTAGTCATCAAAAGGAAAAGATCTAATCATACTTTTAAAATTGACAGTGTAGAATCCTATTGACTTTTTCTTCAGAAATACAAAATATATTTACAAAACAACTTGGTGTAGATTCAAAAGGTAACAAAATATACATTCATACTGTATTTACAACTTGTATTTTATAGCTTAAGAAACAAGATGGAGCAATATGATTTACGAAAAGCATAAAGAGAAGGTGAGAAGAAATTAGAGAAGAGGAAAATAGGTGAAAGTACGTACTTTCAAGGGAATAATTTGATAGGTAGAGTAAAGAAAGCTGGAACAGCAAAGAATGGTAGATACCAACTCCATATAAATAACATTCCAGCAATGAGATATCATTAAAATCTATTGCTTCATAATAGAGTAAGCTCTCAGTTTCTGGAAGTAGGCAAAACAAAAGACTACCAGGAATAAGAAATGCTAACTATAGTCTAGAAGATAATGTGTAACATCTTTTACAAGGCTGGTTTGCTCAAGAGAGAATAATGAAGAGATTCAGCATTCCGTATATACCAACTCTAAATTAGAATTAAAATATTCAGAAAAAGATAATTAAACTATCCAAGTCTTTTTTCAACTTTCCTCTACCTGCCTTTTTCATACAACCTCTCTCTCCTTAAGATAAAATCTAGCCAGAACAAAGAATATATGCTCAAATCCTCATTTCCTTTGCAAGTGTGCGAAGGCTGGAGCAAAAACCCAGGTTTTCCCACTAATGAGATGATGCTCACGCCAGTAAGCTATTATTCCACCTTACATTAACGATTTGATCCCATTGCCTCTTTGCTCTTTGTCAAGTAGCTAGGGAAGGCAATTAATGTCAAAGAACATGGATTCCTTAATTACAATAGCTCGTCATTGAAATAACTTGAATTAATGAATAGAAAAAGTTGGAGTAGTTGTGTAACTGACTCTGGATTTTTTTATGAGTGTTTCATCTTACACAGATTATTTTTTAAAACCTATAACTATTGTGGAGTAACTTCCTCCTAACTTCACGACAATGTAGACATGCCTTTAATGCACTACTTACCTTCAACAGCAGGTGTCTTAGTTGCTAAAACAACAATTAGGGCAATAGCTATTATAGTAGCTATGACAAAGAGGGCAATCAGAGAGATTTCTAATCCACTAAATTTCTTTCTTGCCATCTAAAAAGAGAAAATAATATATATTCAAAATGTAAAATATATAACTATAATAAACCACCAATAATTCTCATGAAATTACATACATTCTTTTTTTTAGTAAGTACAATGCAGAATGGCAGACAGCACTTACATAACATCCTAAATTAAGCACTCACTTAATAATATATTAAGCATGTACTTAATAACTTGTAACTTATCCTCATATAAAATGTAAGCAATACATGCAATTTAAAGTAAAAGGAATGAATTACTGATGTGCATTACAGTAGTAGTATGCTGAGATGAAAATATAGATGGAAAAAATATATTCAAGTAGGTGTGCATTGCCTTCTCATTTAGAGCATTTTGCAAGGCAAAGGCTTCCATTTGCACTGTTTCTCAATTCTCACAACAATTTTATGAAGGAAATAGTTATTCATATTTTACGAATTAGGAACTTTAAGCTTAAGAGAGAATAAGTTATATTTCAAAGTTAAAAACTTCAGTTTTTTTCTTGAACTCTCGTCTCTCTAATTCCAACACTACTTTCCACAATGATACTGTCAAAAAGAACATAAATACATATATTTGATAGAACAGTATATATTTGCGAGTTGCTAATCTGTTTAAAAATCTTTTGAATTATCACTAAGTTCCTCCATCAAACAGCAGCAAATTAGATATACAAAACTCTCATATCAAAAATATGTATTTATTATTAGATGGCATTATACTTTTGAGGTAGCATATAGAAGATACCCAAATGTAGACTGGAAAGAACACATCTACAATAATTATCTGAAAGTATATTTGTTTAATTTAATGTTGACCACATATATCTTATTTTTCTTAGTTCTCAGGTTTCCATGGATTACCTGTATTCCATGATTTTAATATAAATCTTAATTCAAAGACATATACCAAAGTAGAACTTAGAATTTCTATAGTAAACGCTTTAATAAATTACTGGGTTTAAAACCATTTTTTTTTTTTTTGGTCTCACAATGGTCCCTGTTCTGTAACTGTGTCAACTCAAGTACCCAGTTTTCCCAACCTAAACATCTTTTTTTTCCGTCTTCCATAGGTTTTACAACATTCAATCATTCAGTAAGTCCATTTGACTTTATCTTCAAAGAATTTTTAGAATTATGCCTTCATTTTATTCCCGGTACCACAGCATAATTTTTAGATAGCACATTGCCTTCATACCTGCAGTTCAGTTTCAATCCCTGCCCATCCACTCTTCTAGGTGAATTCTAAATTTTTCTCAATTCAGATGTCATGGTGAGTTCCTTACTACTCTGAGGCACAGTTAATCTAGCCTTTCTTCATTTACCATAGCATAGGAAATGTTCATTGCAATTATTTATGTATATGCCAATTTCCTCAATTAGATTGTTACATTCTTGTTAGCAAAAATCGTAAAAGTAGTCAAAGACTAATATTAAGTAACCAAAAACTTAATTTTTTACTATAGCTTATAAATCAATATCTGCAGATTAGCATTCATTCTTAGTATGTAATTTTCTGTTACAGATATGTAAGCTTATTACTGCATCAGTAATCGTCAAAGAAAATGAATGTAAACTAAACAGAGCAACAGGTAACATATAAAGCTGTTTGAAAAATGAAGCCCAGTTGCTTGATATTACGTTGAGAATTGACAAAGTTAAATTTAGTGTTCAACTTTAAATAAGTGTAAATCTCATTTGAAGTGATAACCTACTTTGCTACCAAGAAGTCAGTAATGAGAATTGTGTTTTCTTTTTTGACAAGGGAAATCTTAAAAAAATGCATTTTTGTCATGAGTCAAACTCTCCTTTGTCTAGAAAAATCAAAACAAAATTTAAAACAATTGCTTAAAATTACTGTGATAAAAATACGATCCCTGTAATTTTGGATTACAGTAATTTTAAACAACTCTTCTTGGAAATTATATATTGATACCCTTTCTCTGCATATTACTATGAAGATGAACAATACTTTATTGTATAACAACTTGAAGAATGATCTTTAAAAGAGTCAACTAGGAAACATAAATGTTTTATAAATGTAGCATTCTGTCTATATAGATTTTCTTAGAATAATGTAAGCACCTTTATTATTCATCTATTTTTCAAAATCTCAATCAATACTTATTTTCTTTCAAATAGAGTCAATTAACAAAAGTGCTATGATTCCACCTAAGCTTACAAAAGTTATAGTGAAAGAGTTGGGCCAAAAAAAAAAAAAAAAAAAATCCTGGGTGTTTAAAACAAATTAGAAATGTGTTTTCCTGTTTAATACAAGGTACTGCATGTTTTAAATGGCACTTAAAATTATATGATATGCTATTTTAACCAGTGCAGACAGATGGAAAATACTGCTAACACAAATTAAGAAAAAATAAATTAGTTGAAAACATAAAAATAACAAAAAATGAGCTATAGACTTACCTTATTTCAAGCCTGTTCTGTTTGCTGTGTTATACCAAGACTTGGATAAGGCTGCAAAATAATGATCAAGGCAAGTTGCTTGGGTAATATTATAACTACTCATAAGGTTTTATTGCACCCTCCCAGCCTATCAGTGTTTAATAATCTTCTGCCTCACAAGCAATTGTTAAAAGCCTTACCTGAAATTAGTTTACATAAGTCTTTCCTCTGGGAATGTAAGTTAATTAGTAATTGTACTGTCAGATAGTCTTTGATTTCTCAAAGCTGTGAACTATTAGTATCTAAGAACATAAAAGTGTAGCTTTCTTTTTCCTTTTCAAAATTATATTTCTTTTATATTTAGATCGTTTTATAATAACTATTTTCATTGTGTGCAATTTTAGATCTCACTGGAAAGTAGAAACATATTTGAAAGACAGAATCTGTAAAAAATTTGCAGGATATAACAAATTAGAAGGTAATATTTTGTAAAAAGTAATATTAAATAAAATTATTTCCCGTGTCTTGTCTTCGATCTTAAGGTTGAAAAAGTGACCAAATCCTTAAGTATAAGACATAAAGTAGAGGTGTACAGATAAGTATTTAGATATAAAATCAACATATTTGGTCTATTTATTTACCATACATAGCACTCATTGATTATAAAAAAAATCATATTGTAAACCCCTCTCATTTCATATAGTAAAATTTATGAAATTAATAATTACGCTACTGGTTTAAGCTAGCATAATGTTTAAAAGCAATGGATTTGATATAGAGCGATTTGGACATAAATGCTGACTGTACTATGTTTACCTGAGAAATTGTGGGAAAAATACTAACTATAAAATCACTAAGAGAATTATATGAGCTAATATTGCTTATTATTATTGACCTCAACTTGACTCTAAAATTATTAGAGTCTCAGCTTTGCATACCATCTGGACACTACATTTTCAACAAAATGTATATTAAAATAATGTGTTTGCATAAAGTAGAGCAATTAGGTTTTGAAATACACTAAATATGAGTCTAAAAAGAAAATTTTAAAAGATTATGCATGGGTTGCTGTAAGACTCAGTAGCTATATAAAGGAGAAATATCAGTATATAAAATCAGTTATGTAACAATAAGTTTAAAATCAGTCTAGAATGATCTAAGTAGGAAAAATATAACAAAACTTTTGAGGGATTTACTCTCTGTTCATACGCCACATTATTTTATATGTATAAAATCTCACTAAATCAACCCAAAGCTCCTAGAACCAATAGGCAAGCAAAGCAAGGTCACAGGATATAAGGTCAACATACAAAGTTCAATCATAATCCTAAATAACAGCAAGGAACAACTGGAAAATGAAACTAAAACATAGATACAGACAGAGATGTAAGTTGATAGGTAACAAGATTGTCAATTAGAGTAGCATCAAAAACTGTTGATGAAAAAGTTAAAGATTTTAAAAATTGAGAGGTATGCCATATTCATAGATTGCAAAACTCAGTATTAAGCTGCCAATTTGCCACTATTAGATCTACATATAAAATATAATCTAAATCAAAACTCCAAGAAGTAAATATAGACAAGCTGATTGTAAATTTTGTATATCAATTTGTTTAACAGCTTTATTGATAATTTCCCCTAACTGGAAACAACCAAAGTGTCCATAAACTCTGGCATATCCATACAATAGCAAACTACTCATCAATGAAAAGTTATAAACTACTGATTTATGCAACAACATTGATAAATCTTATATTTCAGATCAGTTGTTTTCCCTTTCGTTTTAGTTATCTGATAGATTCAAGAGAAATGGTTAACAACTTGTCTTTTTATTTCTTCTTTTAAAAGTGAGAGCAAAGATTCTTCCCAGCTTACCGCATCTTTGAATTGAAAGGGTAAACCTCTGTCAAGTTTCAATTAGTCCACCTTTACATGTTCCTTTACATATAGAAATATTTTAAGTAACATTTTTTGTTTTCTCCAGTTAAAAATTTTGTGTGATTTTGAATTTGCATATCTTCCATTTCATATCCTTATCTCCCTCTCGTGTGAGACAAACTGGCCTTTGCTTTAAGTAATTACTTCTGCCACCCTAGCTCTTGTTCCAACAGTGAACCTCAATCAATACAATAAGGTGTTCAAAAAAATGCTTAGAAGGTAAATTCAGACAAAAATCACAAAATAAACACATTCGATTATAAGCATAAGGAAGTTACATATAGTAATAAGAAAGGCATTTTAACTTAAAGCATATTATTTTATTTAAACAAATATAAATTCTTAAAATTTCAATTATTAGCATAAAATTGTACAGAAACTTAAAAATTTTACAAGCAAAATAATCCCCAAAATGATCCCCAAATTGAGTTAGATAGTCAGTAGGCAGGATAAGTTGAGAACACCAAAATGTCAGTAGGCAGGAGAAGTTGAGAACACCAAAATGAATCATAACTGGTGATTGACACCTAGTGTAATTAGAACAGATTGTTCAACTACTGTCTTTATGGAGTATTATGTATTTTGTCTTTGAAATGTACATGTCAGAATTTCAAACGTATGGTAGTTAAATCATGGACATCAAATATGCACTTTAGGTTAAAAGTTATA